CCCAAACCATATAAACGAGGCTAAGATTAGTTAATCAAGGGGTATTGGGCTCCCTACCCAAAACCCAAAACCCTAAACCCCAAACCCTAAACCCCAAACCCTAAACCCCAAACCCTAAAACTCAAAACCCTAAACCCAAACCCTAGCAAGCCCTTAAAAAGCCAAGTCGCAACACCAGCAACTGACCCAGGCTGAGCAAAAAACTCAGATAGAGGCTGGCGGCCTGGCGCAACATTTTGGTGTTTCAAAATGAGGTGTGCCTTTTTAGGGGTCCCTATAAAAGGGTGATTAGGCCTTATTTGGGGGGTCAGGGGGACTCAAACAGTAGGTCTTACAATGGGGATAATGGGAATTATTATATGGGTTATAGGGGTTATTCACCTACTTACGAAGCCCCCCTGACACTTTAACTCTCATGGCTTTATAGAAAAATGTGCAGGGATCATGGTCCATAATAGCGTTAGAGGCAACCTGGCGAGTTGTATGAGAGGCCTGGAGTAGGGTTTGGGGGGCTTAGGGATTAAGGTTTTAGCCCAAGATCTTCCGCTCAATTTCTTTAAAAGAGACCTATAAACCCTAAACCCTTAAACCCTTAACCCTAAACCCTGAAATTCTTGAAAGCTCAATATGCCCAGCTCAGCTCTCAATCGGGCTTCAAGTCCCAGAAGCGTGAAGGCCTCTTAAAAAATTCCCTGACAGCGAGAACCACGGGATGTCGCTTGTGGAGATTTAGGTTGGTTGCTACCCAAACCCTAAAAGTATGTAAAATAATAGCCCTAAACCCCTTTTAATAGCCCAAAAGGCCATTATGTTACATACTTTCGGGGTCCAGGTAACCAAGGTGGACCTGACTGAATTTAGGTGCTAAACCTAAAAAGAAGAATAGGGTTTAGGGTGGTCTGGCGCCCTGGGACGGTGGGGGGTCTCTGAATGTTGTTAGATGGCCAGCCACCAACAGGCTCTAGCAGCATGTCACGCAGCACGGTGCACCCGTTGAGGCCTTGCTTCGCGACAACACTCGCCCTGACCCCCAAACCCGAAATCACAAACCCCAAGCCCTGACGTCCCTATATCATCCCCGATGATGATAGCCACCATATTCGCTCCCCCCCAATCCCTGAAGCACCCGTACTGCAGGGACCTAAACAAACAATGGTAGAGTTCTGAGGTACCCTACGCCATAATTACAAAAGGCATCTAGAACCATCTTGCTGGCAATTATTTGGTAGTTTCCCAAAATAAGGGGACCCCAATATAGCCCCAAATACTATAGTCCTTATTAGTGGCCCCCCCCCCAGATGGTAACCATAATTTTGGGAAACCCTAAACCCTAGAAATCCTTATATAAATTGTCTGGACCCCCTATAGACCCTTTACAGGTACCCCTAATTTTGGGAAACCCCTATTTAGGCTCCTACAGTAAGTCAATGCCTGCGAGTGCAGGAGCTCCTGAATCGCTGCAAAGCCCCGCCGAAGCCTGAGCTTCACTGAGATGCATGACACATGTATGTTGTAGTATATTGTAATATATTATGGTGTATCGTAATATGCTATAGCACATTATGGCATATTGTAATATATGGTAGTATATTATGGTCTATTGTAGTATATCATAGTATATTATACAATGTTCGAAGCTCCACTTGAGCTATAGTCTAAACTCCTAGTCTCTTCCTTAATAACCCCTATAGTAGTCTCCTATAATCATCCCTTATAGCGTCCCGTTTAAGGAGTTTAGATTATGGCTCAAATTTGAAGCCCCCGTTAGGGTGGATGTCAAAATTATCATCCCTCTTTGGTATCCTAAATCTTAGGTGCCGTGGTAGAATAGGGATTCAAAAAGGGACCGTAATCTTGACAACCACCCATTTGAAGGGAATGGAGTTGATACGTAGGGGTTGCACTGGGATCTCTAGGGCTAGGTAAGGACATGCAGGGATTGGGGAGTTCAAAAAGTTCTGGCTGCTTTGGGCGTTATATGGGGAAATACAAGGATGTACAGGGCTTAGGGTTTGAAGCAAGTAGGGGTCCCACTTTAGACCTCAATTTTTGGGCGGTTGGTGGTTGAGGGGCGAACTTAGATATTCGCCATAGCCATAACAGTTAAACAGCAAATCATATGCAGCAAGAGCAGTAGAAATCTAATTAGTCGTAGCTTGTGTAGGATTTGGACCCGACACCGCGTGGATTGAGGCTCAGAGTTCCTGCGTCACGAGGATGTCACTCCATGCAGGATTGGAAATGTTAGAGTTCAGAGCTGAGGGCTTGGGGCTAAGGCTGTAGGACTTGGGGCTTACGGTTTAGGGTATAAGTTTAGAGCGCAGCGTTTGGGGAATGTTTGAAGCCCCGAGCCCTACACAACTCCGTTTGCCCTTGCCGACGGCGAGCCGTATGAGTTGCATCTTGAGAATCTAGACATACAAGCTATAAAGGTGGTTAAAAAGGGATGAAATAGGGCAGCATTATGGGGGTTATTCGTCGAGGCTATCCAGCCTCAGGGCGTTTGGAACCCTCTAAAAATCTCCTCTACTCCTCCTTACAGACCCATGGCCAACCTGTGAAATTCCAGCCTCACCCCAGGTTGGGGCTTTTGCAGGGATTAGGGCCATGACCCTAATAATCGGAAAGTCAAGAAGGCAAGATGGAAACTGGTGCGGAGCTTGTTCAGGTTGTGGGTACTGCCCCTACCTAGTAACAATCCATATTAGCGGTGACAATAAGGGCTTCATATACTTGGATTTTCGCTGTTATCCAACTTCTATTGACTGGGGCAGTATCCAAAGCAGACTGCGCATCCTCTTTCAACCCCTCTAGCCAAACATACCGAACCTTAAACGCCTTAAATCTTAAAGCTTTCCCTAAGCCCCCTACCTCCTTTGAGATGCACTCCACAAAACCTAAACCCAAAGGTCTTCAGCCCAACGCTATCGAGAAGAGGCCGAAGGACTTGATGGCCCGCGCAATGCGCACCAGTCTCATCATGCGAAGCATGCGCAAAGTTCTCGACCTCTCCGCTGAGGGTTTAGGATCTTTCACGGGAGTAAGGAGAGCACATGTCTGAACTAGGTCTGTCTCGGTAAAGTGGAACTACACGACCCTTATACATCACTCCAAGCCAAAATCCTAAACCTGGACAGAACCCGAAAGAGGGCCCAGGAATTTGAGACATCTGCCCTCACCCAAGCAAACATGAAACCTCATGTCGTGTTTGCCCCTTTCAAAAGGACGTTTGAAGTTTGAAGGTGGAGAGTACATAGAATTCCTAGAGAAGAGAGCTGCGGCCGACCCTGGGCCGTCCAGAATCTCTGGTTAGAACTACATCCCGAAGGGTCCATGTACCCAATATTTGAGTACTTGGGATTTGGGTAGTAGGAATTATAGCACACACTGATGCAGAGCGCGCGCACAGCGAGGCAGTGCGGCGCGCCAAGGTTCATGTCATCCGAGTGAAAAGGAGAGAAGAACTCAGACAGGACGGGCCAATGCAGCTAGGCTGGCTACCCGTCTGCCTGAGCAAAACTGAGCAAGCAAATTTCGCGCGGCCTGCAACAAAACCGCATCAACCCTCAACGCCAAATCATCAAGAGGAAAGTGAACCCCTAAGCCAACACGGTTCAAAGATCGAACCAGCAGGCTTTCCGCGCCAAAAATGGCAAGAAACTCTCGAACCGCTTTGCGGACTAAATAAAGTCTGCCCGCCACTGTGGGTGGGAGTGGCAGGAACGTGACTGTACTGGCCGGAAGCCACCTTCCCTGGCTATGTGCAACAGGATAAACAACCGACCCGTCAATGTGCAACATGAAGACCAACTCAAGCCAGGAAACGTGATAAGCATCCGTGGACTGATCATCTTGGAATAACAGAAACTGGCAAACATGTACAAGAAACTTTCTAGGAATCCTACCCTCCGTGGCCTCGATTCTTTCCCTCCAGTTAACAGGAACGATTTCCTCAAGAGAGAAAGGCCTTGGCACAGTTGACTCGAGTTCCACTTCAAGCTGCTCAGCATCGTCCGCCTCTGGAGAGGCGGCGCCGGACATCTTAGCGGCTGCAATCCCAAACAAAATTGCTCGCAGCGAACGCTGAACCTGCAACATATGTTGATGGTGCTCCAAAGCCAACTGTCGAGTTGTCTGCAGCGACCACGGCCGGCTCCGGTTTGCAAAGCCCGCAAGTGTGTCCGCATGCTGGTTGTGAATCGCGACCCAATCTTCAAAAGGGGACTCGGTCCTAGTCATACACAAATGTGACGGAACGCGCCTCACCAAAAAGTCCTCCGCCGGCATCTGCTGGAGCAATGATTCGAGGACATCCCACAAATCGTCATTGTCGTCAGACTTGCGTGTCAAGTTCCGGATGTCCGCAACCCCATCCACCACGTTCAAAGCATCCGCCCAAACAATACAGCGCTTGCGAAACCTTAGTGCCCAGCGTGCGGCGGAGATCATCGCCAGGAGCTCGGCCCTGGGTGCAGTCTGTAACAAACCAGGGACTGGGCCACAGGAAACCGGCAGCGCGTCAGTCGCACTGACCACCGCCCAAGCCGCCAGTGCGAAGTCAGCGTGTACTGAAGGATCACAGGAGCCATCTGCGAAGAGGTGATGCCAGTCAGACTGAGACCCTGAACAGTAAAACCACCCCGTACAATCAACCAAACCCACTAGGAGCGCACGTAGCCTTGGCAGGTAAGGGTTGGCAGGAGGCAGCAGGTGATGTGTAAGCGCAGTTGGAAGTAGATCTCATTGCAAAACGACCTGTTCATGGCCTACTCGCTGCTGTGCAAAACGCGGGCACTCACAAACTTGGTGGCGAATGGAATCTGCAACCTGACAGGTAGGACATACCCCCGTTTGGGTGAGGTCAAAGCGGGCCTGCTGTTCGCCCGAGACGAAAGCACCAGCACGGAGGGATCCCAAACGTGCAGTGTCCAAGGCAGAAAGGTTGGAAGCATCAGAGCGAAGCAGGGCCAGGTCAATGCCCGACAGGTCGCGCATGCTGTGACGATGACGGTGCTGGGCCGCAACATGATGAAGCCATGCGTGCTCCAAAAGCCGATGCAGAAGAGTGCCAGGGACGCGCAACAAATCATGCACAATCCCCTCGTGATCACTAACGAAGGGCGGCTCCTGCACCGACCAGCCCACCTGTGACAGGACACGAATCAGCCTTGATACAGGGCCTTGGTACAATGTGCCGTCAAACTGACGCATGTACAGTCGCCATTTCAAGAGAAATCCAGGTTGTGCACGGGCAATGCGCCTGATCTGCCTGACACAGGACCAAACGATCCAAAAGCCTGGGTCATAATCACATTTTTCATTAATGGAAAGGCGGAGCATGCTGCTGACGCCGCCTGGTCGAATCTGCAGCGCCTTAGTTGCAGCGGCTCGCAGCCTGTTGATCTCGGCCTCAGGTAAAGGGCAGCCTTCAATCCCATGGAGGGCCTTTGGCCAACACTTGCCCGTCAGAACCATCATTTTCAACACAAGCGGTGCACGACTGCGCCGCAGTGCGGACCAAACTGGCGCAAGTGAAGCACACCTCTCCTTGAGCGCAGCATTGCGCGTGAATGTGCCAAAAGCCATAAACCCGCCCAATTCCCGGGCAGACTGCACAACCGGATGTCCGAGAGGCTTGAGGGCAGCGCGGTCCTGACTCTGCGTGGCCCAAACAAAGGTCTTCCCGGGGTCCAGAGTCAACCCCAGAGAGTCCGCGAAAGTGTGAGCTGTTTGAAGGCCCATGGCCAAACTCCCGGGAGTGTCGGTGATGCCGGACCAGTTGTCCGCAAAACTCATGGTGCGGACTGGAGGACAGAATGCCGACATGTAAGCATGGAAAGCCCATCCGGCCAAGACCATAGCCAACGGGGATAGGGGGCATCCTTCCGGGAACCCCCGATCAGAATGTATCGCCGGGCCCACACAGGGTAACAGGAATTATAGTGCAGGTTTTGGGTAAGTATATGATTATTAGGTACTTGGACCCTTAGGGATGAAGGAAAGGAAAGCGGCACGGAAACTACGGTATCATTCGGGGTTATATCGGGCGACTATAAGGATCCATACCTTCCTTCTTTGCTAACCAGAGGAAAGACACACTAAGCCCTGAAGTCTGAATGTACCGATATGCTCACTTTCCATTTCATGTTCCATGTTCTCTCCCATTTGATTCTCCATTATAGCCCTAAGCCGCCTAAACCCTGTACCCCTATATAGTCCCTACAAGCGCATTTATATTAAAGGTGGTGAACCCTAAGCGTCAAGCTCCACAATTGGCGAGATATCTATAAGCCCTAAGCCCTCGACCCCTACATCCCAAAACCCTCAATCCCCAAAAATCCCTAAATCCCGCATCCTAAGTCCCTATAACCCCTAAGACCCCTATATAACTACAGGTAGGGAAGTTTTCGAAGCCCCGTCTCATCCGTAAAGCGTAGCCAAGAAAGGTTCCCTCCATCCCTCGAGCCTTAACCTTATGCCTTATCTAGTCCCCTGAAAATCTAGGTAAGGAAGGTTCCCGAAACCCTAGACCATAACACCCTGAACCCTAAATCCCTAAACCCCAAATCCCTAAACCCTATAATCCCTAAACCCTAAAGCCTAAACCCCAAATCCCTGAACCCGAATCCCACAAGCCTAGACCCGTGGAAGGAAGGTTCAAGGGCAGCTAAAGGCTTCGCCGTCGTCAACTCAACTTTCCCCTAAACCCAAATCCTCGAAAATAAGCACTGCGAAACCACCCTCAGCCTGAAGCTCGATAAAGCATTTTGTTTCTTCAGCACAGGGGAGTTCCCATAATCTTTAAAGTCCGTTAGGGTTCAGTGGTGTAGGGTTTAGGGATTTAGGGTTTAGAGTTCCCATAATGTCAAGGTTCCTTGGAACCCTCGTAGAAATTATAGCTTCAGCAGCCCAATAATTCATTGATGATGGAACTATCTACATGGGCCCACAAGGGTCCCTAAACATTCTAAACCCTAAGCCTTAACCCTAAACCCTACTCACATGAGCTATAATAGTCTCAACTCCTAGTATGCCCCTTTATCACCCCAATCATACTCCCCTGTATAATCCCCTACATAAACCCAGACTATAGCTTGTCTGGGAAATTCTTACTGTTTCAGTCGTGCGGCCAGGAGGAGCTGTCCGTGGCTGTGCCATACTCCACCTGAATGCTCCCAGAGAGCCAAAGATATGTTGATTAAGGACTAAACCCTTGGTGAGGAACCCTTTAAGGGACATCTAGGGCAAGGCTTTGACTCAGGAATATACCTCAACTATACTAGGATCATTGTCATAAATATGATGTAGGGTGGTTTCGCACGGCTCTTCGTACCCCTGCGAGCAGGGGCCTCTGAAGACCCTACAGCGCGCCTAAACCCAGACTCTTTGTGAAGATACCGTAAAGTTAAGTACTCTATAAATGGAAGAGGTAGACTAAGGAATGATGCAAGTCTCAGTTTGTCGGGGCTGCTATGGTGGGAGAAAATCCTAAGGCCTCAACCCTAAACCCTAGGTATCAACGTCATAGAAATATGTATATAACATATCTCAGGGAACCTTATGCGTCCGATTTTAGAAGTCTTGAAACGATGCCACAAAAATAGATATGGGGGACCCCTCTATGTTCAAACAATCAGGATAGCTCCATGGAACTCCAGAAGGAGTTTCGCGAAAAATGCCCAAGACTTCCTCCATCTATAGTTACCAGTCTAGCTTCCGCATAACACCCTAACCCCTAAATGAGGGGCGATAGGGGATCGTTTTGAGAAACTCCCACTAAGTGATATGGCGGGGCCATATTGGGGAAGTTATTCGGGTGCACCTTTGTCGCTCTGAAAACAGGTGCTTCGTGCGCTGGAAACCCCAAAATCAGCCCCTCCACAAAAAACCTACACATGGGTAGTCCCCAAAATTAGGGTCCCATTTGGATACCCCTGAATGTTAGGTGCCGTAATACAACCTATACCCAAAAGGGGCCCCTTGTTTTGAGAACAGCCCATATTCTCCCAAGACTGGGCATTCCCCTCCCCCCACTACGCTTGAGCCATTACCTCGTCACCATTACCCAAGGAAGGATCAAAGGTACAGTTCAAAGGTACAGTGTCTACTCTTCCTTACCCATGGAAGGAACAACAGATCCTGTCCGCATTTGCATAAACAAACTTAAAACCCAAACCATCCTCAAAAAGCTGAGCGAAACTTACCATCCTCAACCTCTCTTTTCCCCCTAAGAGCCCTAAACCCTAAATGCTGAAGCCTAAGTATCCTTAATCCTATTAAGCTTCTTACAAGAAACCTAGGACGATAAGGTTGATAGTCATTTAGCTGTCTACATTACCCTAAACCCTAAACCGTAGGGGAAGTTGACTCCATTCTCTGAGCCGCAACGAAGAAGAGCCAGTCCATGGAGATGAGAACGAGATCAAACCTAATGCGCTCACGCTTAGGGAGTAGGGTTTAGCCCTAAACCCCTAACCCCTAAACCCTGGTTAGGGTTTAAGGTTTAGGGAGTAGGGCCTAGGACTTAGGATTCAGGCTTTGGGTTAGCCATGCGGTTGAGGATTTAAGGTTAGCCTCACGATTTTGGCGTGTTGGAAGGGTTCTGGGTAACCTTCGCGAAGGCATGGCGACTGGTTGCGGCGTGCATGATCTAGGGTTTGCAAGGCTTAGATTGGACATAGCTGGGCAATGGGATTTGGGGCTTCTGGCTTGCACATTGTTTTTTTCTCCAGAGTCTTCCTAAACCCAAAATCCTAAACGTGTGGCCTGCAGCAAAGAGTTTGTCATTATGGATATGTCCAGGGCTTCGTCTGGAGGACGAGTAGAAAGAACGAGGAACGCGGGGGGTTTAGGTTTAAGGGTTCTGAGTGAGTTTGGGGGAAAGCCATTGCAGTAGCTTTTGGCTAAAATACCTTGTAGTACAGGAGCCCAACCCCTCTGATTGAGGACCCTATAACTATCATATGGCTATAATGTGGCACCCGCTTTAGTG